CAGAGAGACAAGGCCAAGGGAGGTGATGAGGGTTGACGAATGCGCAAGAGCAGGGCGCCAACATGGAATGCCCCTCGTCACGTCATGTCTCATCATGCCATCCCGCGTACACCATGCAACTCCAAGACGCATGCGGAGAATCCACGGTATCGGACGTAAACGTTGACGGCAGCAAAAGCACATTCTCGCTCACAGGCGCCTGCGGAGTGTGAATGGGTTCTTCTGTTTTCTGTCCCAGTGACTGGTCTGGTCTGGGAACTGGAACCAGCGACTGATCGCTGCCCCGTAAGTGCGGCGGTGGCGGCTGCTACCGCGGCGGCGGCGACGGCGGCGGCTGCTGCAGTAGCGATGGTGACTACTACTGCGGCGGCGACGGCGACTGTGGCTGCGGCGGCAGAGGAGAAGACACCACGGAAGAGACAAGTGGCAATTTCGGAGCCGCAGGGCCCCCAGAGTCTGCCGACTCCTCCACCGGGACGACCGACGAGAGGGGAGTGACGTGAAACACACCAGACGGGGCAAGACGGGGAGGGAGGGGAGCAGGTGCTACCGGGGGAGTGGGGACCAGGAACAGGGGCAGGGAAATTGGGAGACCTCGGTGGGAAAAGGGGATGTAGAAGGAGACAGACTCGTCAAAAGTGACGTCGCGAGAGTGAAAGAAACGGTGAGACATCGGGTGGTAAAAGTACCTGTCAGACGCGTCAAGGGGAAACCCAACGAAGACACAAGGGACAGTGCAGGCACTGAGCTTGTCCGTGCCGGAGGCACAAACGTGAGCGAGGCAGCCCCAGACGTGGAACGCTGACGCGTCACTTGGGGACCCGGTCCAGAGAAGGGTCGGCGAAACCTGCGGCCGCTGGGAGTGCGGCCACATGTTAAGCTGGTGAGCGGCGTAGCGAACAGTGAAGGACTACAGAAAATGGGATGTACCTGCATGGATCATGGAGGTACGAGCCACTTCCATGACCAAACCGATGCAACAATCAGCGACCCCATTCTGGTGCGGGGAGTCCGGCCGGGTGTACGACTGGGTGATGCCCTCCGCATAACAGAACTGGCCAAGCCGACCGGAGGCGAATTCGCCGTCGCGGTTGGAGTGGAGATGAAGCACTGGAAGGTCGCGATGGACTCGCGCAGCTACGACCGACGGGATGAGAACGCCAGGCACGTCGGTCTTGCGCTCTAGGGGAAACATCGTGGTGTAGCGCTTATATTCGTTGACGAGCACTAGAAAGTAGCGCTCAGGGACGGGGGCTGGGCCCCAAATGTCCAAGTGTAGAGTCTAGAGTGGCGCAGTGGTGGGGGGCAACGAGGAGGAATGAGGAGCACAGCGCAGAAGGCCCTCGATGAAGGGTGTGCAAGGCGGCGTGGGGGAGGGAGGGAGGGCAGGGAGCGACTAGGGAGACTTAAGACAAGATCGCACTGGGACATGTAACGCATACGCAGGAGTGCGGGGTGACCTAGGCGGCGGTGCCACAGATACGACGGGTGAGTGAGCGATCGACACGAGCAAGCCGCAGCAACCTAAGAGGGCACGACCACTTAGGGGGACGCTCCCACTGAGGGGGACGAGGTGTCCAGGGTGAACAGGCCAGACACCGGGTTCCGGGGGAACGTGGTGAGAGGGGCACCAGTGGCGGCCTCGGTACAGAGTCGTACCGCTCGTGTCCAGGAAACGTAGTGGTGACACCGAGGTCCTGGAGAACGAGGGGATTTGCAAGCCTGTAAGAGAGCCCGAGGGAACTGCCGGACAGGGAAGGGTAGTGGAGCTACGTGCAACTACTGTACGTGAGGAGGGGTCAGCAAGCACTACAACGGCAGGGGCGGCAAACGGCGTGAGCGCAGTGTGGTCGTGAAAGAAGAAGGCGGACGCACCAGAGTCTAGCGTGAAGTGAGCGCGGTGGTAGCGGCCGCGGGCGGAGGAGCTAGAGTGGAGCCGAGGCTAAACAAGGCAGGTGGTCCTATGCCTAAAGTAGTAGGGGAAAGTAGGCTACACACAGTGAACACACCTACACTAGGAAACACCGAGTAATGAGGTCCAATCACACTAGAGTCATCTGCATACATGACCTATATAGCAGACCTAATCTGACCCATATCCAGCTCAAAGACAGGCACACGGCGACGCACCAAGCTGTACTAGTCGGTGGGGTCCGACACGGGGCCAAAGCAGAAACGGAAGAGGGTGTCGAGGCGGCAGTAGCTGCGGGCGGCGGTGTGACCAGGACGGTCGCAGACGGTGCCGCGGCCGGGGCCGCACTGAAGCCGCCACCCGACACCGAGCTGCGCGGCCAACCACCACGACCACCACCACCAGCGCCGCCAGGCCAGCACGGCGACGGGGGTCCCCACGGCTGCTGTTGCTGCTGATTCAGCTGCTCTGGGGCATCAGCCCCGGTCCCCTTGTTTGCACCAGCGTCCCTGCCACCACCTCCACCACCTCCGCCAACCCCACCACCCCCGCCACCCTTCCCTCCGCCATGCCCCCCCTTGGGGCGGCGACCCTTACCCTGACGCGGCTGTGCTGAGGCCGCGGCGGCGGTCTCAGCAGCACGGGCTGTCTAATCGACAGTGGCAGAAACGTCAGAGTAAGTGCACTGGGAGGGAGCACAGCCCTGGAAGATGGGGACCGCCGAAGTGCCGTTAGACTGAGCAATGGTGCGCTGGCGGGTCTCTATCGCAGATAGGGCGGTGACAAAGGCGGTAAGGGTGAAATCACCTGGGTGCTGACTAAGGAAGTGGTCGCGGGCTGTGGCAAGGTGGTCAAGGAGGCGTCTACCAATGAGGTAAAGTGTAGCGCAAAGCGGCGACGGGAATACAATGAGCTGTGCCCTAGTGCTAGCAGCGCGGTAGCTAGTCTCAAGTGCGCGTAGATGAGTAGCAAGGTCAGCGTTAGTGGGGAAGGAAGCAAGATCATGGAATAGCATGGGGAGGATCAAACGGCCGGCAAATGCGGAGGAGGGAGTGGAATAGCGCGCAATGACTGCATCCAAGTATTCCTTTCCATTTGCTACAGCGGTAAAGGGGGGATGCTCAGACAGGGGGAGGGCATGAGTAATAACAAGTTGTGCGACTGCGTCGCGCGATACAAAGACAGCGTGAGCAAGCTCTGCCGCGACAAAGGCCTCACACTCAGTAGACGTGGGGGCGTCAGGGAGGGCAGCAGGCGCGTCTGGGCAGGGGAGCTTACCGTCGAAATGGACGGCCATGGAATAGCTGTCCTGGCGTTGACCTGTCAGCTGGCGGCATAGGTCGACGAGCCACGCCTCAAAATCAAACGCCCGACCCTCCGCGTCCAAGCGGAGCACAAAGTCCGCCATCACCACGGCTGCAGGAGCTGACTGCCGCGGGAGGGGGGAGGAGAGCGGCGGAGAGGGTGGTGGAGAGCGGTGGAGAGCGGTGGAGAGGAGTGGAGTGCGGTTTTTAGAGCGGTGGAGACAGCTGGTGGGAGTGCCGGCTTAGAGGGGAGCCAAGGCCGGCGGGTCAGGGCGGCTGAGCGGCTCGGCGGCTCAGCGACACGGCAACTATGCGGCACGGCGATTCGGCGGCACGGCGGCACGGCGGCGAGGCTCGGCGGGAGCTAGGGCCGGTGCGGGCTAGGTCCAGCGGAGCTGGGACCGGCGGAGCTGGGGCCGACGTGAGCACGGGGCCGGTACGAGGGGTGTCGGCGAGCAGGGGGCCGGCGAGCTAGGGGCCGGCGAGCGAGGGGCCGGCAAGCTAGGGGCCGGCGAGCGTGGGGCCGGCGTGCGTGGGGTCGGCGAGCGCGGGGCCAGCGAGCTAAGGGCTGGCGAGTAAGGGGCTGGCAAGCTAGGGCCGGCGAGCTAGGGCCGGCGAGCAGCGGGGCCAGCGGGCGAGCGCGGGGCCAGTGGGCGAGCGCGAAGCCATTGGGCGAGCGCGGGGCCAGTGGGCGAGCAGGGGCCGGCGAGCTAGGGCCGACAGGTGCGGGGCTACGGGCGGCTGACGGCGACGGGCGGCTGGCGGCTACAGGCGGCTGACGGCGACGGGCGGCTGGCGACTACAGGCAGCTGGCGGCTACGGGCGGCACGAGGCGAAGGGCGGCCAGCGGCGAGCGGCTTGCAGATGCGGCTAGCGACGGGCTGCTAGGAACGGGCGGCTAGCGATGGGCGGCTAGCGACGGGCGGCTAGCGATGGGCGGCTAGCGATGGGCGGCTAGCAACGGGCGGCTAGCGACGGGCGGCTAGGTCTAGGGCTAGGGCTAGGGCTAGGACTAGGGCGGAAGCGCGGGTGGGCGGGGAGAACCTAACCTAACATGATACCATCTCACTCATAGTTACGAATTGAACTAGAATGTGAGTTACTGAGTGGTTTTGTGCCGAGGGATTGTACTCTCTAAGAGCACGCAGCTATCTAGCCTATAATAACATATACATATACCGTAAACGCCCGGATATAAGACCCGGTTTTATTGAGGACCCATAGGGTGTTTCTGGCGGGTAGGTCCTTTATTATGGTAATCGACTAACAAGACCCTCCCCTTTTCAGTGTAGCCTGCTTAAGACCCTCTTCGTATTTTTTTCCCCGTGATTTCCACAGCAAATGTAAAGTACGGCGGAAAGCGAGCAAGAAGGAAATAGAAAGGGGGCAGCAGGGAAACAGTAGCGCGAAGTGGAAACCAGAAAACACTGAGGGGCGAGGGCTTGAACGCTCCCAGAAGCGTGTAATCGAGACTAAGTCAACAGTTTCCCACACAATGTTGAATCTGGAGACAAAATCCAGATCGTCAATCGATACTGTGACAAACCGGATCGCTATCAATCTGTTTCCCAAGGGTTTTCCCGCCATATCAAATGCTCACTTGTCGCGACAGCTTGATTTTTGCGCACTAAAGAGCGAGATTGGGCGTGAGTACTCGACAATGAGTCAGGAATGTAAACGAGTAACAAAACTACATGAAGAAATTTGAATTCTATATGTGTATGATAAAACACCTGGGTAATCTATTTTCAGGTTTCCTTACAAGACTCACCCCCCTTTTTAGGTAGTATACTAAAAAAGTCCCTAGGGTCATATATCCGGGCGTTTACGGTATGTTTAACAGTACAGCCATCTACCGTGGATGGCTGTCAAGTCAACAACGTATTCCAATGATAACAAGCCCCAAATACGACCATCTCCTCAGCAGAGGGCTGCTCCCTGTGGGTCATAGAACAGAGAGTAACAGGTGTGACCACCTGACTATCAAAAGGTAGGTAGCTACCTACTACGGTAGAAAGCGTCATATCCTACCCTAAAGCTAGATCCAGAGTGACAGATACAGATGAAGGTACTACTGCACCGAGGGCACCGAGTGCACCGAGTGAGTGCACGAGTCTGCTGCTGCCTGCACAGGGCCAGTTGGCAATAGCAGCATGGAGGCACCGAGGCACTGAGGCATCAACAGCCAGCCATCATCACTGTAATTGAGCCGAGAGAGCGTGCAGCCATGCATGACATGTGCTATGCATAGGTAGCCATATAGCGTTCCGTGGGGGGGACAAGAGGGGGAGTGAACAGGGGCGCAGAACAAAAAGGGGAGAGGGAGAGGAAGGGAGAGGAAAGGAGAAGGGGAATGGAAGGAGAGAAAGAAGGGCTCACCAGCTGCCCCTGTCTCTTGGACACTGACAGCCAAAGCCAACGGAAGCAATGACACCCATAGCCAGAGTCAGAGCCAGAGCCACAGCCCGAGGCACAGCGGCTGGTATGGTAAGCCCAAGGCCGGAGCCCTGTGTCACAGAGGCAGGCCCTGTGGTCACAATGTACACAGTGTAGTGTGGAACGGATAAGTCACGGGCGATGCACCATGAGCTCGGAGCATGGATGCATGCGGGCACGTGGGGGGGAAAAGAGAGGAAAAGAAGAAGAGGAGAAAAAACGGGGCAATGGAACGTCCCAAGGAAGTGTTCCCTTGGGCACACGCGCTACAGAGCGTGCACACCATGAGAGTGAGGCCTTGTGATGCTGCCAGCCGCAACCGGCCCAGGTGCAGCTGCTACTGCCGCCCCTGCTGCTGCTGCTGCTGCCGCCATTGCCCCTGCTGCTGGTGCTGCGTGAGTGACCGCTGCTTCGGCCCACCACCCACAACCTCTGCCCGAGCCCCAGCTGTGCAAGACCACCGTCACTCCCATACCCACTCCCAAACCTTAATCGTCCAAGCCCATCTACACTTCCCTTGCACCCCCCACGCCTCGACTCCCTCCACAACCCTCACCACCCCCCCCCCCACCATGCACCCTCTAGTCACTCTCGACCCACCCCACCCAGCCACCTCATGGCCCCTGGCCTTCTCATCCCCCCCCATTCCTTCTCATTCCAGCCTCCTATGAATCACGGCTCCATCGCACCTTGCTCACCCTCAACTAGCTTTGAACCTCAGCTTGTCAAGTACTACTGGTGGGGAGCATGCACCAGCCCTGTGTGCCCACCATGCCCCCTACCACGCCCCCCACCACATCCAAAACAGCACGCTGCAAACGACAGGGGCTTGGAGCAGAAGCTCAGCATCAAGTAGAATGCGGGAGAGAGGGAGATCGGGTGGAAAAACTGCGCCAACTGAAGGGTAGACAATGAGGAGGAGGAGGAGGAGGAGGAGGAGGAGGAGGAGGAGGAGGAGGAGGAGGAGGAGGAGGAGGAGGAGGAGGAGGAGGAGGAGGAGGAGGAGGAGGAGGAGGCGGCGGAGAGAGGCGGAGGAGGCGGAGGAAGAAATGAGGGATCTCCCTCGTGGATCCGTCATGGGATCACATGTCCACATGACACGAGACATCACTCGGGGGCATGGTGTGCAGCCGCAGCAGCGCAGGAGGCTTCATCGTCGCTGTTGTCGCCGCCCATCTCCACCATCTCGTCCGACCCCTCGCCCAGCCGCCGCCGCAGCTCCTTCACCTCCTGCTCTGCCACGTACAGCCGCTGCTCACAGGTAGAGAGAGACACGGACAGCACAAGGAAACAAGGGATGTAGGAGGGGACCGGGGAGGTGGGAGGGAGACGGGGAGAGGGGTGGGGGGGGGGGGGCGAGGAAGGAGAGGAAGTAAGGAAGAGGAGAGTTAGAAGGTGCACTTGGCGGATTGAGATGCGCAGCAGCAGTGAGCTTGCGACGCGTGTAGAGCACAAATCGAGGCAGAAAGGGGCACAAAAACAGGTACATGGTGGTGTGGGGGGGCGAGACGAGAAAAGCGACACAAAAGGCATTGTCAAAACTACCAACTCTCTCCGCAACCATCATCACTAAAACCTCACCCGCTGCTCCACATACCCCACCCCCCAAACGAACTCCACAAACCCATCTCTCACTCTCCCTTCTCTCTCTCGATCCCAACGTTCACATTACTCTACCTACCATCCCTGCCATCCCTGCCATCCCTGCCATCCCTGCCATCCCTGCCATCCCTGCCATCCCTGCCACAACAGCGTACCTCTCTCAGCGTCAGGTTCTCTTCCTCCAGCTGCGCTAGCTGCGTCTCCTGCTCGTCTATCCGCGCGCGCAGAAACGAGTCCCCGCTGGAGCCGCGCACCGCCATGCCCATCACCGGATGATGTGGCATGATCCCATTGGCTCCCGCGGTATCCCCCGTGTACAGCATCTGGAATCGCTGCAGCCCTACATCAACCCTCCGCTCCCCTCCCTCCCCCGCCCCGGCCCCATTGACTGTGACTGCTGCGCCCGCCCCCCCAGCTGCTGTTTCCCGCCCTCCTTCCCCTCCTCTTCCGCCGCCGTTGCCTGCGCCGCCGCCAGCGGCGCCATTCCCGCCGCTTCCGCCGCCGCCGCTGCTGCCCTCGCCGTCCGCCGCGGCGCCGCCGTTGCTCTCGCTCGTCGACGTGTTCTCCTGCTCCTCCGACTCCCCCGAGCCGCCCGTCGATCGAGACGGCCCTTTCTCCACCGTCCCCGCGCTCCCCTCCGAATCATCCCCGCCATCCGCGCCGCCACCAGCACGGAAAAATCCACCAGCTCCGCCCATACCGCCCATACCGCCGCCGCCGCCGCCAAACATGCCGGCGCCGTCATCGTCGTCCTCTCCGTCGGGCGTCCTTAGTCTAATCACCCCGTTCATAGAACCGTACGGGTTGACTCTAAACTCGCGGATGTCGCCTTCGCCCGCCCCATCCTGGCTCCCCGACAGACCCACTCCCCACGGCGCGGGGGAAGAAGACGCCAGGGGGGTGGGGAGCAGCCGCGGGGTTGTGGCGGGGGAGGGGGACGCGCCGGCGCCAACTCCGCTTGCGCCAGCGCCTGCGGGGGTCAGCGGGCCTGCGCCTCCGCGCGCCTGCATGATGAAGGACGTTGTGTTGCGCGGAGCGCTGGGCATGGACAGAGGGGCGTTGGGGGAGGGAAGCATCTTCGAACCATGTTGCGACTGCGACTGCTGCTGCTGCTGCTGTTGTTGCTGCTGTTGCTGTTGTTGGGAAGACGGCGGGTACCGGCGGCGGAACTTAGAGAAGAACCTCCGCGTTCCGACGCGGTTGCGCTGCTTCAGCTCCTGCAGGCGCGGCGGCCGAAACTCGCCGTCCTCCAACATCCCCTCCGCGTCTCCGGGAGACGGCAGCGGCGGAAGCAAAGCCCGGCCCCGGAGCCCGCCGGCGCTTCCAGATCTTCTTGTGCTGCTGCTGCTGCCGGAGCTGCGCCGGCTGGCGCGGCTGACGTGGCAGACGCGCCTGCGACTGCGCTTGCCCCTGCGCTGGCCCCTGCGCTTGCTTGTCCGGCCGCCGCATCCGGGACCCGCGCGGGGGGCCGCCTCCGTAGTCCAACCCGAGCGGGTGCGGAACAGGCGGGCCTGACTGCCGCGACGACCGCCGCTTGTACCTGCGCCCGCCTCCGCCGACTCCCCCGCCTCCGCCAATTCCCCCGCCCCCGCGATCTATGGTATCGTTGCCCCCGCCAGCGACCCAGTCTGTAGGAGGGTAGCTGTGAGGTAACGGCTGTGCAGAGTGGATGTAATCTCTAGAGATAGAGGGGTGAGGGAAGGAGCCGGTAGGCGGCCAGAGAGAGGAGGAGGGCACGGGCTTGCCGCCAACGGGTCCGGAGCGCCATTGGGGGAGGGGGAGAGGGGGGAGATGGTGAGGCAGGGGCGGGCGGTGCTGCAGAGAAGACGGCGGCGGCGGCATCATGTGATGGGAAGGCGGCACGATTGGAGTGACGATCGGCGGCGATTGCTGCTGTTGCGGCAGCAGCTGGCGCTTGGCAGTACCCGCGGGTTGCGCAGCAAAATGATCCTCCGTGTGAACAGCTTGACATTCCGCAGCCTTAGCGGCGGCCTTCTGGGGCGATCGGTGCTGCGATGGTTGCGCTTGCGCATGCGTCTGCGGCTGTTGCTGCGTCTGTGCCAGTGGCAGCGGCTGCGGCTGGGGCTCGGCCACTGGCGATATCCGTTGCGTAAGATGCATCTGCGGTAGCGGAGAGGTCTGCTGAACAGCCGACGCCTGCAGGCCTGGAGAAGGGTGCTGCTGCTTCGACGGGGAGAGCTGCAGCGGCCGGGGATGGGTAGACGGCGAATGAGAAGCTAAGGGAGGAAGTGTTGGAGGAGCAGGACGGGGAGGAGAGGAAGGCGAGGCTGAGTAAGGAGGATGGATGCAATCGTTACCAGGAGGATTCCCGGCGTCGTCCGTCCAGGGTATGGCTTTAGGTACTGGTTCTAACGTGGGTTTTGGATGGAAAGGGCCTGGTTCGCGTTCTGCTGCGTGCATGATTACGCCTGCTGGACAGCGAGCGAATCGGGGACTCGCGGATCAAAGCCACAAGTGATTGCTAGGACAAGTTCACGTGAGAGAGGGTTCGGTAGACTTGCCGTTCGACTGCTGATCACAATAGCACAAGGAAACCGTGGCGTAATACCTAATCGCTGTACTTCAGTGTCTGCGAGGCGTGGAGTTTGCTCAAGGTTGCGTGCGTGTTGGTCCGTGATGGTTTATCGTTAGCAGCAAAAACAGGGAATTCCTTGGTTTGGAGGAACGGTGGTGGTGACAAACGAAAGGCAAGAGGGGAGCAGGCAGAGAGACAAGGCCAAGGGAGGTGATGAGGGTTGACGAATGCGCAAGAGCAGGGCGCCAACATGGAATGCCCCTCGTCACGTCATGTCTCATCATGCCATCCCACGTACACCATGCAACTCCAAGACGCATGCGGAGAATCCACGGTATCGGACGTAAACGTTGACGGCAGCAAAAGCACATTCTCGCTCACAGGCGCCTGAGGAGTGTGAATGGGTTCTTCTGTTTTCTGTCCCAGTGACTGGTCTGGTCTGGGAACTGGAACCAGCGACTGATCGCTCCACCAATCATTGAGTGACACAGGGAGAGTTCCGTTTGCCCTGAGCAAAAGTGGGAGGGAATTCGGGCAGCATGCCGATTCTGGGTTCTGGCCCGCTGCTGCCACGCTGGCACCCGAAAAGCTGGTTGGCAGGAGAAAGTGGTAAGGAGGGCAATCTTTCCTGACGTTAGACATATCGAAGGCTACTCGAAAAATGTCCCCCAAAGTGAACTGCATTTATTAGTTTCCACTTGCCAGTTCTGGTTTGCGGTTTTTGGACCTATGCCAAATCAACGAGAACCCACCTCAGACAAGATTGGAACAGCCCTTTCCTTACACCCCAAGTAAAATGTCCAGCACTGTGCGAGTAAAATCCAGGGTTGTCCCTAGACCTGAAAAAGGCGAGGCAAAACTCCGAGGAATGTGGGAGAGTTTTGTGGGTGCTCGAGTGCCCAATCGGGCTACCAGCCACGTGTCTACTTAAAAACGACACTCCCAGCACAACAATCCAGTTCGTTGGAAAAAAAGCGCAATGCTATAACGAAGTATTAGCCGATTTTGTCACTTGTCGCTGGTGAATATATTGTTTGATAATACATCTCCATCAATTCTCATCTTGTTTTGCCCTTAAAGTGAAAGTATACAATAACTTCGAGGTTCAAAGGTTTTTAAACCTTGAAGGGGGTTCGCAAAAATGTGAGGGTCGCAACCTCGCAGAAAACCTCGCGGGCCCCATGCGAAAGGACGGGCTCTCGCAAACAGTATAATACACCGGCGAACACTTGCACCTCGCAGGGGTTGGGGGTTGACGACACACCGATCCCATCCCGCCTACAGTGCGCGTTCGCAAGAACCGGAAACGCGAGAAGGGGAATAATTAGGTGGGAAAAAAAACAAGAGGCGACGAGGTCGTCTTAGGCAGGGCTGACGTTTTTAAAAAAAGCACCCTGAGCTGTCGAATGTGGAAATTTTTTTACCCTGAGGGCCTAGTGTTGGAATTTTGACTTCCCTGATTTCTCAGTGTTCTGGAACTTACAACCCTGAAACCTCCAGGGTTGGCTAGCAACAATCAGGGTTGAATTGCACTTGGAAAAAATCAACTAGGAATGTACAGCTACTAGTTAAGTAAAAGCACCACTACGCCACGCCAGTCTACAAGTCCTCTATCTAGTCTAGACTTCACAATATTCCACGACACTAGCTACACTTGACTAAAATTCTGGGCCATCCATGTTCACTTCGTCTTCTGCCTCGTCATCGGACAGAAAGGGGTTGTCTGCGTCCTTCACCGCCAAGGCTTCCCTGCATGGTGCACACGAAAGAATTTTAGACAAGCAGTTGTAGGAACCATAAGCGACTGAAATGACGCTAGGTTTAACCTGTGGGCGATGCAGTGCGACGAGACGAGGTGGGGGATGTGCTCGCGAAGTCGGGCGACGAGACCATTGTCTCGGCCGACCATGACAGAGGCGCCGTCGGTGCTCATGCCGGTGATTCGAGAGAGGTCGATGCCAGTTGCTCGCAAGTGAGCTAGAAGAACCGCGAGGAGAGACGCGGCATCGCACTTTTCGACGGTCAAGAGAGCAAAAACTCTGTGACAACACGATGCGCACGCAAGAAGGTAAGATAAACAATAAGATGTTTGCCGCGAGTATGGTCAGTGCTCTCGTCGCAGCTGATGCCGAGGTAGGGTGAGGCAAGAATGTAGTGCATTTGTCGGCGATGCAGGTAAGTTGCCAGGCTGCTGACGAGCTGACAGAAGCCATACCTGTAGTACCAGAAGTGACAACAAGGTGTTGGTTAGATATTTTTGAAAAATGAAGGACATGGTGTACTTCGAATAAGTGCATTACCGTGTCAGGTAGACTCCGTAGGACTGCAGCGGAATGTCCGGTGTCTCCTGCTCGGCCATGAAGCGGAGTAGCCTCGGGTACATGCTGATGGGTGCATCACACTTGCACAAGAAGTCGACGCAGCGTAGGAGCCTCATGACGCGCTTCCCCTCGATGTCAATCCTCGCGTAATTCTCCATGCGCCTCTGGGTGCTGGCGATGTCTTCGGCGATCTCCATCTGACGCTTGACTGCTACTTCGTGGGCTGTCGTGTGTTCGTGGAACCGCATCGCTTGCGTCTGCAGGTCACGTGCCCCGTCGCGGCTGTTGGAGTACGGTGTTGTCTCTTTGCGGAAAGCCTTGCACACACTGCACTTCAAAGCAGGGTAACCGTCTTTCGTTTTCGTTAGCAGAAGCCAAGGGAAAAATGGAAGCCAGCTGGTCTTATACTTGTGCTCAGCCATGAGATACTTCTGCTCAATGAGTTCCTTCTTTGAGAGATTCGGCGGCTCGGGTTCTGGAATACCAGGGGCCTGAGGTTCAGGCGACGTGCGAGGCGGCGACCGTCGATGTAGCTTCCCGCCGAGGACTATCGTGCTCTGGGTGTACTTCCCGACGCGTGCTTTCTTCCCAGATGAAATCGTCGACGCACACTCGACCGTGTAGCGCACGGTCGTGGCTGTCTCGCAGTCTGGAACCAAAGGGCCCCGGCTAGATGAGGCGACAGCGGGCGGAGGTACATAGGGAGCGGCGGGAGTAGATACGGGTTGTGATGGTGTAACGACTGCGGTGGGAGACCGCAAGATGTCTAGAGCGGATCTACGGACCTCCACGGGGGGGTCCCTACCTAGTCCAGAACCATCATCGGCAGTAGAAGACTCACCAGAGTCTCCTACATCCGCCATGGCTAGAAGCGGCGGATATGATGGAAATGAGAAATCGGCGCGACGAAACTAAAGGAGACAGAAAACTGGAGCATCTCGTAGCTGTGACGTGAAAAAATGAAAAAAACTGGGTTGGAGGAGGAGCTGGTGAAGAAGACGGGAAGAGGACCAAGAGGCCTCATCTTTCGATTTTGATGGATGGTGCATAACCCATCAAGGTTCCCGTATCGCCATGGCGATACCGTCAACTGCGAGACACACCTGCGCTGGCATCGTCTGCACAGAGATGATTGGCGAGGTGATGTGATACATAGGCTGACATTGCCGCGCTCATCATATTCTGTCATCGTTTGCTGCGTGCTGAGTCACGAATGCCAGTTGACGGTTGCAAATGTTGCTGTAATGGCAACATACAGCGTGTACACGGCGGGAATCTTGCCGAGTGCAGATTCCCCACGTGACGCATGCTGGGCGTGTTCAATGGACTGAGCCCCGTCACGCGAAAGGGGGCCATTTCGAGGAAACTCAGGGTCCGCATGGATGTCGCATTCAGGGTTCGTACGCGTTACTCCTTGAAAACTCAGTGTTGGGATAACGCAAACCCTGAATTTTTAAGTGTTCACAGACATATAACCCTGAAGAGGTTAGGGTTCAAAAAAACCCAACCCTGAAAATTAAGGGTTGGCAAAAAAAATAACATGTGAAATCAGGGAATCAGGGTAAAATACCCTGATAAAGACAGGCTTGGTCTTAGGGTTGCGGAGCAGTAGAATGTAATATTTTAAGATAGTATTTTGCTTCAGTTGTTTGTTTTTGTAAGAAGAAATGCTCATACTGAAATAACTTGTCCAATGTTGTAGAAGACTAAGTATAAAACTGCAAACACGAACACTTGGAAATCCTCAAGTGTTGGTCCAGGATCTTTACTGGAATGGTAGACTAGTAAGATAGCGGAAGTCTTGTAAGAATGAACCTGAGTATATGCTTATGAAGAAGTGAAGTCTCAAAGTTCTCAAAGTTGAAATCTCAAGGTTAATAATAAAAAGGACACAACAAAGATTTATAGCTCTAGGAAAGTACCTATTCGCTAATGTACCGGTTCGTCACTATCGCGCTATGCGCTCTAAACGATAATGAAGAGGTGCGACTTTTCGCGTGACTGAAACGACTGTCCTATGACGAGCGCTATTTGCTGACGTCATCCTACGGACTTACGTTCTACAGTAGGATTCGACACTATCTACACCTAATCGACTTACAGAAATGCTAAGTATCAATTATATTACAACACCCCCCTTCATTTCTGGAAATTCGATAGTGTCACTTCTTGAAGATCCCGCAAAGCTTGTTACAGTACTAAAACTTTTGTCGTGTCAGCTTCTTCGTGAGGAAATCGGCAGCCATTTCGTTGGTTGAACAGTAGACCAATCGTATTCTCCCCTTCTCGACTTCATCCTTGACGAAAAAGTAACGCAGAGAAATATGTTTCGTCTTGTTGACGAAACCAAGCTGGTGCGCGATGCGAATTGCACTTTGGTTGTCACACTGCAAAGTAAACTGGGTAGTCGTCGTCAACTTCGCTGCTTCCAATAGTTGCTGTAAGTAAAGTCCTTCACGTGTTGCTGTGCAGACAGCGATGAACTCAGCTTCAGCAGAGGAGAGAGCAATCAACTCATGCTTCGTCGAATTCCAAGAAATAGGTCCGACAGGTTCAAGCCGGTAGATGAATCCAGTACGCGACCGTCGATTAGTAGAGTCAGCAGCGTGATCGGCGTCGACGAAACCGTGTAGGTATAGTGTTTTGCAACCGATGACGTTGTAGACTAAACCAACGTCAGGAGTCGAGACGAAATATTGAAGCGCGCGGAGAAGATCAAGGTGGTGCTCCTCTTCAGGACGGCGTAGGAACTGAGCGAGCTGACAAGCCACGTAGGCCAGATCTGGACGACAAGTAACAGCGACGAAG